AAATGAAATGTTTCATGAACAATGGCATTTATGGGGACTTTAAAAGCCAGCGGTTGCCCATCCACTGCCATTTCTCCTACTGCATGGCTACTTCTGTCCCCCTTTTCCACTTAACGATGTAGAAAAAAGAATAAAAGGGGCTTTTCTACTTATGTTGGCAGCCCTTTCCATCAAATGAGAAGGGCTCCACAGTCAGCTTCAGTTTGTTACGTGCACCACTTACAGACATTTCAAACGGACTCATCCTGATCTCTGGGAATGATGTCCCAATCCTAGGCAAATACGTAGAGAGGCTGTAACCATCTGAAAAGCAAAATACTTTATAACTAGTAAGACGTACAGTAATTGAAAGCAGGTCACTTCCGATTTCAAAACACAAAGACATGGGAAAGATGCCATTTTGGCATGTTTGAGGAAGTAAGACAGCACAAAGCTGGGGTGGGAGGGGAGGAGAAAGGCAAGGGAAGTATTTCTATTCTGGGAAAAACAAAAGAAACGGGAGAAATAGTTTCCTAATAGAATACAGCTTTTTTTTTCATAAGATATAATTAGAAGTAATAAATTGAGACATTAAGATGAAATGAGTCATTTCAAATTCATTAATTTCTATTAGAAATGCAATGTAGTATGATGCAAACTGTGCTGTACTTGGAGTCAGAGGTCTGAGTTGGAACCCCAGCCCTGATTTGTATAATCACTGTGATTTCAGTGATCTTCGTCAACAAAACAGAGACAATAATATTTGCCCTACTCACCTCAATAGGTTTTTGGGAAGTTGGGAAAGAGGAAATAAACATTTATTAAGCACCTACTACATACTAAGTACTTTATAGACATTTTCTCTTTTGATCCTCATAACAACCCTGAGAGGTAGGTGTTATCATTATTCCCATTTTACAGTTGAGGAAACTGAGACAGAAAAAGGTCTGCTTTGCACAGGGTCACACTGTTAGTAAGTGTCTGAGGCTAGATTTGAACTTTAATCTTCTTGATTTTATCTCCTATGACTCTATCCACTATGCTTCCTAGTTGTAAAATGCCACAAAAAAAAAATGGACGTTATTTCCCTATAACCATTAGACCATGAGCATTTTGGGAGCAGGGACTGTCTTTTGCCTTTCTTTGTATCTCCAGTGCTTAGCACAGTGCGCCTGGCACATAGAAGGCATTTAATAAATGGTTATTGACTGACTATAGCCTTCATTTTCAATTGACAGCCCCCTTTAAAAATTGGAATAATTTATAGATGATTAAATTAGATCATAAGTTAAACGACAAGCATAAAGATTCAGTGGCAGAGTCAATATTGAACCTAACTAATACATCAAAAATATTGCTACTATTCCCACACCACTCACCCACTAAGGAAAAATTACAATATACCCATCTTTGTTTCTAACACCGGCAAGAAAAGAATAATGGAGTTCAACTAGAAATCTGAATTATTAAGAACTCTAAGAATTAACAGAGAAAGGGTAGGAAAGGAAGTCAGTATGGAATTAGAGGAATCCACAGCAGAATGGGCATATCTGAACCTCTATAGCTTCCACAGAGATAGTGACAGACATTCTCTTGGCAGTAATGAGGCGAGGTGGAATCAGAGAAAAGGGGGTTGCCATCACAAATGAGAAAACCACTTACTTTAGTCTCCAAAGCATTGGATGTCCTGGATCTTAGACTTGACTCTACAAAAGTAACTCTCAGACAAACTGAGACTTGGGAAAGACCTTCACCAAGAAAGGCCAACGTCACCCACTGCATGCAGGGCCAGGCCATTGCCAGTCCTCTTCATTTCTATCTTGCCACTGGACTTTAATGACTCTGGAGGAAAGAGTGAGGCTGATGACTTTGCATGACTCTTCTTCACTTAAATCCAATTCACTCTCAAGTCAAGACATCGCCCGTGTGATGTCATTGGTTCTCTTCAAGAACGGAAGGACAAACAACAACTACAAAAGTAATTAACTATGGGACATATATTGATTGATATTTGCTGGGATAGGAATTCCTCACAGATGATAATGCCCTATAAGCATTAAGCAATTTTGAGATGTGAGTGATTTGCCCAAAGTCCAATAGAGTACAGTTGGCTCCTATTAGTGAGAACCCCCTAAAGTAGCTGCATGTATGTGAATTTATACTATTCTAAATAATAATAATAAATAACATTTATATAGTGCCTCAGCAGATAGAGTGCTGGCCCTGGAGTCTGGAGGACCTGAGTTCAAATCCTGCCTCAGATACCATGTGACCCTCAGCAAGTCACTTAGCCCTGTTTGCCTTAGTTTCCTCATATGTAAAATGATCTGGAGAAGGAAATGACAAATCACTCCAGTTTCTTTGGCAAGAAAACTCCAAATAGGGTCATGAAGAGCTGGACTGAATAACAACAAAAATTAACTGAATATTTAAACAAGATGTTGCACTAAGTGCTACCAGTGCAAAAAGACTAGAGGTATCTGACTTAAATGAACTTACAATTCATTTGGGTGTACTGCCAGATGCACATAAATAAGATAATAATAATGATAACAATGAATTTTCTATAGTGCTTTGAAGTTTGCAAAGTGCTTTACAAAGTTATCTGGATAATCCTCACAATAGCCCTATAAGTAACTACGGGAATTATTATTATGCTTATTTTGCAGATGAGGTAATTTGAGTCTCAAAAGAAGTTAAGTATAACACACTAGGAAGTGTGGGAGGTAACCCAGGGATTCTTAAATCTAAGACTTATTCTCTCTCTACTACATGACCTCAATACAAAGCAATAAAGAATAATAGATCTCACAGGAATATTTCCAGGAAAAAAAGATGCAAATCCATTTAGGAAGTAGCAGGACCAAATACAAGTAATTGCTATCCTGGTGGTAGGGATAGGAAAGGGATGTGAGTTAGACTAGTGATTTCAACAGTGTAGGGACCTCCTAATAAGAAGCTTCCTCTTCCCCAATGCACATGATACCTTCTTTGTAACTTTGAGAGCTGACTAGGGGGCACTGAGGGGTTAAGTGATTTGCTCTGGGTCACACAACCAGCATATGCCAAAGTTGAGACTTGAATCCAGAGCTTCCTGCCTCTCAGTGCCCTCCCCTGTCTTCCAGGTAATGTTATATTATAGTCATCATTGCTGTAGTTGAGGAATCACGTTGGTAAAACCGTGCAAGTGATTCCAACTGTCACTATGAGTGGCTGTCCATGGAGAAGAATGAAGAACAAAACTCAGAGGGTATGATCATTTGCTCACAGAATCCCAGAATGTTAGAGCTGGGAGGGTCTTTCATGGTTATCTCCTCCAATAACCTCATTTTGCAGATAAGGAAGCTCAAGGCCCCAGTGGTCAAGCGTCTTACCCAAGTTACACAAGTACCTAGTGTCAGGGCCAGGAACAGGGCACTGGTCTCCAGGCTCCCATTCTAAGGTTCTTTCCATTTTACTAGTATCTCTCACTATAGCGGGGAATGGAGTCCCAGAATGTAAAGTCTGGAAAGCTAATCCACCAAGTTCAACCTAATCATCTGACAGACGAGGAAACTGTTCAGTGGACACAGGGCTACTTATCCCTGTTCTTGGTTTTCTCATACTACAGCAACCTCAGAGTTAACTTTGATCTGAGAAGCAACACTTCCCTCTTCCCCACCCCCTCCATCATTTACATGCTCCTTAAATGTTTCCTAATCTCTACTAAAAACCACGTGGTTTGCATACTCTATCCTCCATGGTCCTTTCTTGTTCCATAACTCTCCAGCTGGCAGAGGCTAAGGGACAACCTGACCTAGGGGTGCAATTACTAAGGTAGGTTTGTGGTCCATGGAGTGAGTATCTCTGAGGATGGTCATGAGGAAAAGACCCAACACCGGGTTCAAATTCAATACATATCTATATATATCTATTATGCAAATGCAGCTTTTTTTTAGAGGCAGCATATATTGTATACAGCAAAGGTCTCTTGCTCAGGAAGGCCTGGCACACCCATAGGAAGTATGACAAGTCACCAATCCTCTTCATGCCCCAAGAACCTCTCAGAAACAAAACCAAATTAAAAAAAAAATAGTTGCAAAGGTGTTATGCCAAAGGAAGTTCCACACCCTAAGCTCTCCTATCATAATTAAATCAGTACAAACATACAAAACAAAAACCCACTAAAAACCAAAACCTTTAAACAACGCAAAGAAAAGTCAGACAGTCCGAAAGGATCTCCAAAGGGGGAGATAAAGGGGAAAAGACAGGGGTTTTTATCGGGACTATAAGACAAGGTAGAATGTCATTTTAAAAAAGCTCAGAAGTGGCAAAGTTCATTTCTGGCTAGATGAGGAGGGAAAGCTTCAGGGAAGAGGGGGATCCTACAGAATTTCACCAGGCAGGAAGAATGGGGCTCTCTTACAGAACCATCCACCATGAACAAACCCACCAAGTCGGGGCGCATCCCTACCATGTCCAAGGCCTAACCAACAGACAGTGACTGTCAGAGCTAAGATCACCTTGGAGATGATCTGGTCTAAGACATCCTGGCTGGGTTCGGGGTCAGCGTGTCACCCAGTGGGGCTTATACAGTGGTAAAATAGACAACTCTTTGGACAAGGAAGGAAGAAGAGGGAGGGAAGGCACCAGGGGAGCTTGGGGGACGGGGTGGGAGAGGATGGGTATCCCAGTAGGAGGGAGATCGGTGGAAGAGAAAAGCATCAGGAAAAACGGGGGAAAGGTTGTAGCTGCTGTTACAAGGTTAACTTTGACGACAAACAGCAAGGAAAATGTGTGGCGAGAAACAAAGTGCTACTGAAAGTCCTAGAAAGGGAGTTAAGAGAGGTGAGTTTTCTGCCCTCACTCGTTGTGTGACCTTGGGACAGTCCCTTAGAGCAACCGCTCCGGGCATTTCCAGAGAGCGCCTCTCGGGGCCTCAGTCTCCCCGGCAGTAAAATGGGTGGAGGTGTGGGTCAGAGGAGGGACGGGCTGAACTGGGGCCCCCACTCCATTTCATCCCCGCGTCGGTCCCCGCTCACCTGCTCCACATCGCGGAGGCTCTCCCGGGGGGCTCCCAGCAGCGCGCACAGCTCCAGCAGCCCCGGGGGCAGCAACAGGTGGGGCGGCACCGAGCCCGGCTCCGCCATGGCTCCGACAAGCGGATGGACCGGGAGCAGGAGCAGCTGGAACTCCGGCCGCCACGACCCAGACGAGCCCGCGCCCGCGCCCAGCTGGGCTAGGATGCGCGAGCCCGAGGGAAGGGGCGGGGCCGGAGGAGGAGGAAGAGGGCGGGGCCGGGAGGGGGAGGAGACGGAGAGGCGCGCGTGCGCCCCAGCCGCCACCCGACAGCAGCGGTCCTCCGTCGGGAGCTGAGCGGGGAAAGTTTGGGGCACCGATGTGTATGTACGCGTGTGTACGCGTGTGTACGTGTGCACGGGCCCTGGCTCCATCTCCAGCCCCCCCCCCCTTCCCTTACCTGAGGACTATGGGTCTGGGCTGCAAGAGACCTCAGAGGCCGCCTTAGCTAAGGCTAAGGAAGAGTCCAGAGTGTGAAGGATACAGAGTGAGGTGAAGAGGAAATCTGACGCAGAAAGTCAACTGAGCCCTGGCAAGTTTTATAACAATGATAATAATGATGTTTATAGCTGACATTTGGATAAGGCATTAAGCTAAAGCCCAGTAGCCCAGAACCTCAGTTCTGGTTAACCAAAACCATAGTCAATCTTGGGGATTCCTTTCTTATCCTGCCATTTGGCTTATGTCTGCACAGTGTTTAAAATTTCCACCACAGAAGTTAGCTAGTATCTAGGTCTTCACCAGAAAGGAAAAGTGCCTTCAGTTCCCGTGCAAGCACACAGGCTAACAAGATATTAAATATAAGACAGACTTTATTTAATCTGATAGAAAACTCAAAGGGACTCCTGCCCAAGCCTGTTCCTTTCTGGTGGGTCTTGGCATCTCCCAGGGACTTGTACAGTCTCCCAGGTTGAACTCAATCCACTCTACCACACCTGCCTCAAGGCTCAAGTAACTTAAGGTTGTCAGAGAGTTAAGCCACCTACCCCCTCAAATGATCCTGGTCTCCCACAGAAACCTATACAGTCTTCCAGATTTATAGCACTACCTTGAGGTGGAGGTCCCTAACAAGGGGAAAATGCTCAGAATCACTAAAAAGTTGAGCCTTTCTCTCCAGATCTGCATGGTCCACATAACAATACGAGTAGGAGGTGAGGTTTTGGTTTGCTCCCTATACAGTTGATGACTATTTTTTATCTTCTGCTCCAACTATTGGTATGAGAAGTTGTAGAGGGGCAGATTTAGATTTGTGGAAACCATCTTAACTACCAACACTATCCCAAAGCAGAATGAGCTGCTTGGGGAAGTAGCCGGCTCTCCCTCACTAGACAGCTCCAAGAAAAGACTGAAGATCACTTGTTGGGAATATTGAAGAGGAGATTCCTATCAGGTACAGAGTGGGCCAGATACTCTCTCAGGTGCCATCAGCTCTGAGATCTTAGAATTGTTTTGAGTTGCCCTACATCACCTCATCTATAAGTCAGAGGCAGCATGGTCCAGTGGAAGGAGTGCCAGCTCTAGCTCAAGTCTGAATTTTGGCTCTGTCGATGACTTCCTAGTTACCCTGAGAAAGTCACTTAATTTCTCTCTCTCTCTCTCTCTCTCTCTCTCTCTCTCTCTCTCTCTCTCTCTCTCTCTCAGCCTTAATTTACTTATCCACAAAATGAGGGGTTTGGACTACACCAGAGATGTCAAACTCAGCAGATGGGCTAAGTGTAGCCTGGATCAGATTAAAATGTAGTTTCAAGGGGCCGCTAGGTGGCAAAATGGATAGAACACTGGCCCTGGATTCAGGAGGACATGAGTTCAAATTCGGCCTCAGACCCATAACACTTACTAGCTGTGTGACCCAGCACATGACACTTAACCCCATTGCCAAAAAAAAAAAAGATCCCTTCCAGCTCCAAATCTAAGCTCCTTAAAAAAAAAAATGACTTTTAACACCAGGCTCTAATGCTTAACACAGTACCTGGCACATAGTGGCCACTTGATAAATTATTATCAACTGGCCTACTGATCAAGTTCGTTGTTACATTCAACATACCGGGCGTCCCAAAAGTCTTGGTGTAGTTTTAAGCTATTGGAACTTTAAATCTTTTTACGTTATTAAAACTTAAAACTGTACTAAGACTTTTGGGACACTGTACCCCAAGTGACTCAAACACAGGTTGATGCATCCTGGAAGACAGCACTATGGCAAGGACACAAAAACAGAGGGGCAACTGAGCTGGCCTTTGAAGGAAGATAAATATTTTGACAAGTGGAAATGAGGAAGGAGGCTTGGAGGCCAGAGTCGGAATGTTTAGTTTGGAGAACACTTAGTCATCTGATTTGCCTGGAGTGAAGGGGAGTAATATGAAAGAAGTTTGGAAGGGTAATTTGGAGACCTATTGAAAAGGACTTTAGCAGGCTGAACAATTTCTGTTTTATCCTTGAAGTAAGATTTTTGAGTAGGGAAATAACATGGTTGGATAGAACTGTGCCTCAGGAAGGTTATTAGGAGCTATACTGAAGATGTCTTAGGGAGGTTTGGTACCGTAGGAAAAGAGACCCATTAGGATTCTATTGCAGTGGTCAGGACAAGACTTACCGAGGGCCAGAATTAATGTGGTGGCAGCGTGAGTGAAGTAAAGGGAGAAGGGGAGAGATGTTGTGAAGATAGAATTGCTAGGCCTAAGTGATGGATTGCTATGAAGGGATAAAGGATAAAGGATACAGTGAAGGATGACTGAGGTTTAGGGGAAAGATTTAGGCTAGATATATGGATAGACATCAGAGTAGATATGATATCTAAGTTGTCTGAATAGAGATGATAAACCATGGAAGTAGATTTAATCAGCAAGGGATGAGTATAGAAAAAGAGGTAAAGATGGCCTAGGATATTGCCTTTGGGGATGCCTATGCTTAAGGGAAAAGTATGGGTGATCATCCAGCAAAGGGAATCAAGGAGAGGTCAGACAGGTAGGAAGAAGAGTCAAGAGAAGGGTGGGGAAACCAAAGGGTGAGGAAAGTACAGGCATGTTGTTGTTCAGTCATTTTCAGTCGTGTTTGACTTTTCGTAACGCCATTTGGGGTTTTCTAGGGAAAGATATTGGAGTGGTTTGCCATGTCCTTCTCCAACCCATTTTACTGATGAGAAACTGAAGTAAACAGGGTTAAGTGACTAGCCAAGGGTCACACAACCACTAAGTGTCTGAGGCCAGATTTGACCTCAGGAAGATGAGTTATCCTGATTCCAGGCCTGGCACTCTATCCCCTGGGCCACCTACGTACATACATACCTCAAAGATACTGCAAGTTCGGTTCCAGACCACCGCAATAAAGCAAACATCACAATAAAGCAAGTCACAAATTTTTTGGTTTCCCAGTGTATATAAAAGTTATGTTTATACCAAACTGTAGTCTACTAAGTGTGCAATAGTACAATGTCTAAAACTCCAATGTAAATACCTTAATTTAAAATATTTTATCGTGAAAAAAATGCTAATCATCATCTGAGCCTTCAGCAAATCGTAACTTTTTTGCTGGGGAGGGGGACCTTGCCTCTTTGCTGATGGCTGCTGACTGATCAGGGTGGGATTGCTGAAGGTTGGGGTGACTGTAGCAATTTCTTAAAATAAGACAACAATGAAGTTTGCCATAGCGATTGATTGACTCTTCCTTCCACAAAAGATTTCTCTTTTGATAGCATTTTACCGACAGTAGGACTTCTTTTAAAATTGGAGTCAGTCCTCTCAAACTCTGCTGCTAATTTATCAACTAAGTTAATGTAATAATTTTCAATAAGGTTGTGTCGTAGGGAAGCCTGAGGAAAAATGGGGAGTGGCGAGTGGATGGAGCAGTCAGAACACACACAACGTTTGTCAGTTAAGTTCGTGGTCTTCTGGTTTGTGTGTAACATCGAAGACGCTGATTACAGTTCCCTGTAGCAGACATAATAAATAATGAAAAAGTTTGAAACGTTGGGAGAATTATCAGAACATGATGCAGAGACCCAATATGAGCACGTGTTGTTGGAAAAATGGCACCAAAGACTTGCTCACCCTGGGTTGCCGCAAACCTTCAATTTGTTTAAAAAAGAAAAAAAAAGGCAACATCTGCAAAAGACAATAAAACGTCGATAAGCATTGAGAGATGATTTTCAGGAAAATGTCGCAGACAGAAGCCTGATTACAAGGGGGTGAGAAATAAGTGGAAGGAAAGGAAAAGGAATTGATGACCAGAGATAACTTTTTCTCTGAATTTGTCTGTGAAAGGGAAAAGAGATATAGGAGCATACCCTGAGGGGATGTCAGAGTCAAACTAAGGCTATTTAGCCATGAGGGAGACCTGGTCTTCTTGTAAGTAGTGGGGAGAAGCCAGTAGATAACAAGAGAGGTTGAAAATGAGAGAGGAAATGAAGGAACAAGGTAATAGCTGGAAAGCTTGGCCTGAGCTAGAATTTTTTCCGTCCTTTTCAGAGAATGGAGGAAAGAAGAAGAGATAGAGGATGATGCAGAAAGATTATAAGGTGGTCAATATGGAAGAATAATTTATAATAAATGATTTTGATTTTCTCAGTAAAAGATTAGAGGAAAGGAGATGGCATAACTTAGAGGCTTGAAGAGAGAAAATAAAGTTTGAAACAGATGCTGTGCTAATTGTGATAGAGAGCCAATCAGGGAAGAATTAAGGGTTGTCATGCAGCTGTAAGAGCCCAGTTGAGTTTAGATTGCATGAATTTGTAATGGATTTGATCAGTTTGTTGATATTATTTCCCCCAGTGGTTTTCAGCATGAAAGTAGGCCCACTCAGCTGTTAAATTAATCTTCTTAGAGCATTGGTCTATCAGGGGTGGGGTACCTTTGGCCTCTAGGCCACATGTGGCCCTCTAGGTCATCAAGTTCAGCCCTTTGACTGAATTCAAACTTCACAGAACAAATCCCCTCAAAAAAAGGATTTGTTCTATAAAACTTAGACTTAGTCAAAAGGCCACACCCAAGGGCCTAGAAGGCCACATGTGGCTTCAAGCCCTCTGAAGGTTCCCCACCCCTGGAAGTCACCCCCTTACTCAATAAACTCCAGTGACTCCCTATCTTCTCCAGGATCAAAGATACAATCCTTTTATTTATTTATTTTTGGGGAGGAAATCTGGGTTAAGTGAATTGTCCAGGGTCACAC